CTGTTTTTTTTTTCAAATCTGAGTTGGGGGCTGTACTGCGCTTGCTGAGTACAGCCCAAATCCGCTGAGGAACTTTTGGGGATGGGGTGTTGGGGGGGTGTATGGGGGTATTAGGGGCCACCATGGGGGTGTTGGTGGTGTTACTAGGGGTTCTGGACCCCCTTTTTTCTTTTTTCTTTTTTCTTTTTTTCTTTCTTTTGCGGGGTGCCGACTAACCTCGACTGGTAGGTGCCGACCAGTCAAGAGCGCCGTCCGTCGGGGGGTGCAACCCTGATATATATTATATAATATATTTATGAACAGTTCAATTGCAATAGGTGCATTTCACACCAACTTGAGGAGATAAGGCAGAAGGCAGCTGCAAGACTGAGATCCATTGTATATCACAGAAGCTGACGATGGGTCTCCCCTTCACGCAACATTCTAAGTGAACCACGCTGTGGCACAGTGCAGATGCATTCAGCTGACCCAAAATTTGCAAGGTCTCGGACCACCCCAGGTGACATCTGAAAAAAGAACTATGTTATGCAGGCTTGCAAATCAAACAACTTCTGGGCGAGGGTCGTTCCAAAATTCATTATTAATAATATAAAAAAAAACTATCACATCTCAGTGGGCACAGAAATGACCCACCGTCGCCTAAAATAAACAAAAGTTTGACCCCCCTTTTGCTGTTGCCGCGTACTCCAGGCAGGTACCCCCGCCAAGGTTCACCAGGGTCGCCGGCCCGGGCGACTCTTGTATAGCCTAGCTCTTTATGATACTCATTAATTAAGGTTTTAATATTTTATGTGCATGCTGTTGACTACATGAACGGCAATGAGAGGTCTGACCTTGTATAAAAGCCAGTCAGCATCATGCATACCAAATGTGTCTTCACCCTTTCCTTTGTCAAATGCTGCTGTCTGCAAAATAAAGCACAATGAAACACACACACACACACACACACAGAGAGAGAGAGAGAGAGAGAGAGAGAGAGAGAGAGAGAGAGAGAGAGAGAGAGAGAGAGAGAGATTTCCACCCAAACTCCCAAGTCAGAGTAGGATGTAATGAGGACCATCAACATCATGACGCTTGACTTCATTTAAGCAAGAACTTAGTATTATTATTGTTGTTGCTGTTGTTGTCGTCCCTGTTCATCTGGTATGATTTCGTTCATCATGTCAAAAGACTTCAAAATAAGTTTAAACTCTAAATAACAAAATCGGAATTTCAATAAAATCTTGCATTTTGAAGGTTAAAAAGCAATGAAACTTTCAGAAATTGCTCCTTACAAGTCTGAGCCTAGAAGTAATGTTTTTGCAGCTTTTTTAATAGGCTTTCTCCTATTCAAGTCTGGCGCACATAGCAGAAATTGTGTAAAGTACTGCATCAGTTTATGGTCTTTCATCTCCCAAATCAAGTACACAACACGTAGTTCGTATTTCTATTGAAAACATTCTCATGTAACTACCAAATCCATTTACTACAATACGTCCATTTTAAGTCAGGCATGGTTGGAACTCGTGGCCTTCATCGAGACGGAGCCTGCAGTATTTTAAACAGTCCTTTTTTCTTTTTTCTTTTTTTAATGGGAACAAAGCTCCAATCTATTCGTGGGGAGCAACACGTGCTGGAAACTGGGCCAAGCGTCCCATATAGAAAATTACATAGGAATTTGAAAAAATTGAGAGTTTGCAGTATCGGGGCCACTACCCGGCTTTGCTTAAGAGATACAAACAAACTACTGAAGATAGCAAAAATTCAGGAAAAGACTCAGACCCCCCTCCATCCTCATTACCTCACTCCAGCAAGTCTTACTGCAGCAGAGCCACCATCTCTGCTGCTGCTGTACCCTATTACCATCCTACCAGCTGGCCCCCACACTAGTAGGACGTTTGATATCCATCCTTCTTTTCCCACTCACCCAGGCAAAGTTTCAGGAAACGTCTCAAAACCCCCCATCCATCCTCTTTGCAATCAGACTCGCTCTCATCCACACTTCGCATGCATGCAAACAGGTGCGCAGCAAACTGGCGACAAGCGCCCACTCAAAACTCAGAGATATGGTAGCCAAGTACACAATTCAGGTACAAGTTCACTTCGATGGCTATGGCGACTCAGCGCCCACACAACTCTCCGTTCCCACACACAGGATCACCCTGGATATCCCACACGTGATACTCTGTACACACACACACACACACTAGACTCTAGCTACAGCTATGGCAGCTATGGCCGCTGCTAACCTATCGCTATGGCTAAGCTTCTTCTCTCTGGCCCACTTCGTCTTCGGGCTCACTGCAGACCACCTCGCACAAGTCGCTTGTGGCAGCGCTTCCTCATGGCTCACGCAGGAATGAATGAATGGCTGGGCGCTGCCCCTTGATTTATACTTCTGCAGCTCGTTGTTCTGGCCCTTTCCCATGCCCATAGTGCACACAGTCCCATGCAGTACTTGCTTGACTGGACTAGGACTGACTGGGACTGGGACTGCTGACTCAGCGCGGGTAGACTCCGCCACTTGCCCACTTGCCTCAGCCTAAACATGGGCAACTTCGAAAGGCCACTACTCGGACCTTCCGGAAGGCCGTAGACTTGGCCTTTCGATACTGTAGCAGCTACGACCTTGACCTTTCGGGAGAACTACAGCTACGACTTCTAGACCCTGCTAGGACTCCTACCCGACAGGTCTACGGATTGAACCCCTACTGCCTACGGACCCTACGACAGTCTACCAACTGTTACAATACACAGGTCACGGGTTCAACTCTAGGGGTCGACACAGATACTATACACAGGTAAGGGGAGGACTAGGGATTGAGCCCTGGGATTTGCATCGGCTACTGCGAACTGGTGAATACCGTTTCACTCCCGCCGGCCTAAATTCGAGGTCCTCCGAGAATAACTCAGTCCCAGGCAGGACCTTTTCCTTTCTTATCTCTCATAGGCTAACTATGTCGGGAGCTGTTTCTAGAAGTTCTGCTCCAGTGAACCAGCGGTCGTCCTCCGGTTCCTGATAAGCAAACCGGATCTTATACTGCTTCTGCGGACGACCCTTACCTCCTGTTCTGAACACGTCTTCATCTACAATGCCATCAATGTCGTATCTTCCGTCCATGTCCGGGGGGATCATGGATCTCCTAGATGGAAACTGTTGACTCGTGACACACGGCAGCAACTTTGATGCATGAAATACAGGGTAGGTGTGGAGGTGTGCTGGAATCTCTACAGTGTAGGACAGCCCATCTTCTCCGCCCTTGACTTCTAGAACTGGCCACGGTCCTCTGTACGCAGGCAGTAACTTCTGCGAGATGTTTTCCTCAGGAGCAAACTCCCAGACTAAGTCGCCTACTTGAAACTGTGAGGGGCGACGGTGCTTATTAGCCTGCTCTATCATCCGCTGCTGGGCCTTCCTGAGGTTCTCAACAATAGTGGCTATCTCTTTCTCGTGCTGTATCGCGAACTCCCTGGTACCAGGCGGTAGCCTGTGAATCTGATCCCGGTTAAGTCCTTCAAACGGTCTACGCGGTCTAAAGGACTTGTGCAACTCATTGGGAGTGCGACAGGTGGACAAGTGCACGCTGTTATTGTACGCACTGGCTACCTTGGGTAACATCTCGTCCCAGTTAATCTGATCAGGTCTAATATACATACGCAGAACTTGCTGCAGGATCTTGGTCATCTGCTCAGTCTGACCGCTAGTCTCTGGATGGTGGCCAGACGACATTAGCAGCTTTGACCCATAGACTTTCATCAGTTCTTGCCAGTTCTGACTCATAAAGCGACTATCTCTATCGCTGACTATAGACAAGGGGACTCCATGCTCACGAACCCAAAAATCAAAGAACTTCTGTATGACTAACCCTGTACGTGGCTCTGCAGGCAAAGGAACAAAAACAGCATACTTGCTAAATCTGTCACCTACGACCATGACTTGGCTCTTGCCGTGCCTACTGTTGACGCCAGCGTCCATAAAGTCAATGGACACTGAATCTCCTGGCTGATCAGGAATAGGCAAGGGTCTGAGAAGACCTAGAGGGGCACCCGTAGTAGTCTTATTCCTTTGGCAAACTTTACAGCTGCGGACATACTCTATGCAATCGTTTTTCATTCCTGGCCAAGTGTACGCGCGCATCAGATTGGCTAGAGTCTTTTGCCAACCGAAGTGTCCCTCTGTATCATGGCATTCCCCTAGGATCAGGCTTTGGATCTCCTCACTGTTGGGAATGCATAGACGGTCTACTACATTAGTCTTCTCAAACAATAACCCCTTTGTAGTGCGGTAATCTGGTTCGGTCTCTGGGGCCTCCTTAACTCTCTTGAGGAGGTCACTATAAATAGGGTCCTGCGCATACGCCTGTCTGACTTTCTCCTGCAGGTCACTCCCTATGTCCAGATAGTGAACTATAACTCCAAAGTAGTCTGATCTCCTACTCAGAGCATCCGTAACTAAATTATACTTGCCCTTAACTGGCTTGAGCCCGAAGTCGTATTGGTCTATCTTAGCGGCCCACCTAGCCGACTTAGGTGTCATCTTGGCCTGTGTCTTCAGCCATCTAAGCGTCTCATGGTCTGAATACACCTTGAAGTGCCTCCCAAGCAGGTAATGCTTCCAATGCTCTAAGGCCTGCCTGAGAGCGTAGAGTTCTCTCTCGTATGTTGAGGTAGCGACCTTCTCTGAGGGCATCCTCGCTGACATGAACTCTACGGGCCTATAGCCATTGCCGTCGTCCTGCTGTAACACGACGCCTATACCATACTGACTCGCATCCGTGGTGACGACAAATGGCAAGGACGGATCTACTACTTTGAGGATAGGGTACTCTATCAATGTGCACTTCAATTTCTTTAGCGCAGACGTGCAGTCTCTATCCCACTGCTAGATTGCCTCTTTCTTAAGCAACCTGCGAAGGGGAGCGGCGATAGTTGAGAAGTTCCTCACGAAGTTCCTATAATAGTTAGCTAGGCCTAGGAACGACCGCAACTCTGTCAATGTGCGGGGCGTCGGCCAATCTCTAATCGCCGCTATTTTGCTGTCCTCAGGCTTAATGCCATCTCCCTCTAACACATAGCCCAAGTACAGGACTTGTGTCTTGGCCCATTCGCACTTCTTTGCGTTGACCTTGAAGTTAGCCTCTCTCAGCTTCTCCAAGACCTGCCTCAAATGACCCTGGTGCTCTTGGAGGGTCCTATTGAACACTAAGATATCGTCTAAGTAAACTATGACGAATCTATCTAACCAAGGCCTAAACAAATCATTCATACATCGCTGAAATGTATCTGGCGCATTGGTCAGTCCAAAGGGCATCACTATGAACTCATAATGCCCATATCGAGTCCGAAACGCAGTCTTGTACTGATCATCAGGATGGACCTCTATCTGATGATATCCGGACTTCAAATCAATCTTCGAGAAATATCTGCAACCCTGCACCCGATCTAAGAGATCGTCTATCCTGGGCAATGGTTCAACATTCTTAACTGTGATCGCATTCAGACCCCTATAGTCTATACACATCCTTAGCTCTCCCTCCTTTTTGGGGACAAACAAAACTGGTGATCCAAAAGGAGACGAACTGGGCCTAATCCAACCCTTTTCGAGGAGCTCGTCCAACTGCTTGCGCAGCTCCTCTAACTCTCTGGGGGACATTATGTAAATTGCTCCCTTAGGAGTTCTACTGCCAGGCTCTATCTCTATTCTGTGCTAGATTGGTCGTGGCACTACTCCTGTCGGCGGCTCTGTCAAATCTTTAAATTCTTCCAGCAGCTTGGCAATAGCTAGGTCTATGGGCTTCTCCTCCTTAGGCTCAGTGACAGGTCTCACATAAGCTACGAAGACCTGCTCCTCTAACTGCTCCTTCTTAACTAGTCGCGCGAACGCGGGAGCACTGAGACAGCAATGTGCCAAGGTGTTGTCCACACC